TGCTTATATTCTAACAACATTTATACCCAACCCACCATATGGATGTATGAGCATTTGACCGACGGATTGCTTTGAAAAAATCAGAACTTTAGGTAATAGTCCACACAGGTGAGGACAGGGAAGGCAACAAATTTTAGCATTGCGAACACCAATGATATATATAATAATGAAGCCTATTCACCAGACTCTTGTGCTTTTATTCCACACTCTACAAGCTAGCATAAATTTGACCTTAGAATATTTCTAAGTGTGAATGCATAGGATAGGTCAGTCAAGTGATCGGATTAAATTTTATTTTTCACACTCAATATTTGAATCTATTTTTAAAAATTTGGTTCAACACCTGATTCAATCAAAATAGCTTAGTTAAGCTAAACTTTAGCAAATAACAATATATATTTAGATAGGATCATAATTAGACTTCATACTAGAATATCTAAATTTTGAGCATATAAAGTATGATATGACGGATGCATATTTAAATAATTTATAAAAAATATCTATCCATAAAACCAATATCAAGTATCTAAAGTCAGCCCACCAAACTTTTTTGTCCTCATACCAAATTCTTCAAGCTAGCTTAATTTGACTTGGAATAGTTCAGACAAGTAAGAACTGGGAAGCCCACCAATATCAGCATTGAGGGCACCCATAATAGATGAGTTTATTAGAAGCTAGTATATCTAATTAGATTTATTTGGTAAAAACTNGGAAGCCCACCAATATCAGCATTGAGGGCACCCATAATAGATGAGTTTATTAGAAGTTAGTATATCTAATTAAATTTATTTGGTAAAAAATATATAAAATAAAATATGAGTTAAAAAGGCATAAATGCCTATTTTAGATTCATTTAATTCAAAATCTATTATTTTTAATGCACCTTGATTCATGTGTCTAATTAGATTTATTTGGTAAAAAATATATAGAATAAAATATGAGTTAAAAAGGCATAAATGTCTATTTTAGATTCATTTAATTCAAAATCTATTATTTTTAATGCACCTTGATTCATGTGTCTAATTAGATTTATTTGGTAAAAAATATATAGAATAGAATATGAGTTAAAAAGGCATAAATGTCTATTTTAGATTCATTTAATTCAAAATCTATTATTTTTAATGCACCTTGATTTGTGTGTTTATTAATACATATAAATACGTATTTAATGCACATTTAATTCATATGTATTTGTTAAGACATGTATATATATATTTGTTGTTAAATCTCTTATTTANTTAATACATATAAATACGTATTTAATGCACATTTAATTCATATGTATTTGTTAATACATGTATATATATATTTGTTGTTAAATCTCTTATTTAAATTTTGAATTATCTTTAATGTACCTTGATTCATGCGTATTTATTTTGAAAAGTGATTTTGTTTTCAAATTACATTTAATGTACCTTTATTAAAGTANATTCATGTGTGTTTGTTAATACATATAAATACGTATTTAATGCACATTTAATTCATATGTATTTGTTAATACATGTATATATATATTTGTTGTTAAATCTCTTATTTAAATTTTGAATTATCTTTAATGCACCTTGATTCATGCGTATTTATTTTGAAAAGTGATTTTGTTTTCAAATTACATTTAATGTACCTTTATTAAAGTATTTTTTTTTTTTGAAAAATAGTTTTATTTTTAAATTAATTTAATATCTGAATAATGTAATAGTATAACAATAATAGTGTAATAATAACAGTGTAACAAATACACTGTAACAAAAACAGTGTTCAGTAGTTTTGTGTATGTGATAACAAATTCAAAACGTAGATAAACTATTTTGAATGAAATTATATGAAACTATATGTTTGACAAAATATAATAGTACAATATTTTGTGTAAATAACTTGTTACACTATTATTGTTCTACTGCTACATTGTTAGTGTTACACTGTTACACTTTTATTGTTACACTGTTATTATTACACTATTACATTATTCTGATATTAAATTAATTTAAAAATAAAACCACTTTCTAAAAAAAAAAATGCATGAATGAAGGTGCTTTAAAAAATAATTCAAAATTTAGATAAGAGATTTAACAACAAGTATATACACACATACAAAAGTATTTATACATATAAATATATATAAAAATATGTATTTATGTATATATATATATATATATATGTATTAAAGTTCTCCCATAAAACTAAAAGATGTTTAATGTACCATTTTTTAAAAAAATATATTAAATACACATGAATTAATGAAGGACAAAAATATCACAATAAAAATAGATAAATTCAAATTATGTACTTGAATACAAATAAATATCAAAATTAAGTATTTAATAATCCTATATTTTTTATCAAATAAATCTAATTTAATATACCCCTACAATTAACCATAATAAATATACTGCTCAAGCCACGTTACCAGACTTTGTGTTTGTTTTGACTTTTTTCTTTGTCTGAAGCCTTCAAGCTACCATAATTTGACTTCTATATTGCCACACTCGAACCTACCTAAATATGTCCTTCTCAAGACAGTGTTATAATAACGCTACCTGTTTGATGATTAACTCCGGTTGTTGAATCAATAGTGAACTACAATTAATATTTTTATTAGATCCAAAGTGAACCCCAAATAATATTTTGACCAATGTTATAATCCCAATAGTAGTGTTACATTGAACGAAAAAGTAGAACAAAAATATAAATTAAATGACGTGACATTATTATAATAAAATGAATTTAAATTTTAAATGTGTAAAAGTGAAATCAATAATACTATTATGATAATTTTACATCATTTTATTTTATTTTTGGCCGGTCATCATTATTCTAATCTCAATAGTTAAATATGATCTTAGATATATTTACATGAACTTTAATGTATTCTGACTGATATTGTAAGTTGGTATTTAAAAATNTTTAGATTCATTTAATTCAAAATCTATTATTTTTAATGCACCTTGATTCATGTGTCTAATTAGATTTATTTGGTAAAAAATATATAGAATAAAATATGAGTTAAAAAGGCATAAATGTCTATTTTAGATTCATTTAATTCAAAATCTATTATTTTTAATGCACCTTGATTCATGTGTGTTTGTTAATACATATAAATACGTATTTAATGCACATTTAATTCATATGTATTTGTTAATACATGTATATATATATTTGTTGTTAAATCTCTTATTTAAATTTTGAATTATCTTTAATGCACCTTGATTCATGCGTATTTATTTTGAAAAGTGATTTTGTTTTCAAATTACATTTAATGCACCTTTATTAAAGTATTTTTTTTTTTGAAAAATAGTTTTATTTTTAAATTAATTTAATATCCGAATAATATAATAGTATAACAATAATAGTGTAATAATAACAGTGTAACAAATACACTGTAACAAAAACAGTGTTAAGTAGTTTTGTGTATGTGATAACAAATTCAAAACGTAGATAAACTATTTTGAATGAAATTATATGAAACTATATGTTTGACAAAATATAATAGTATAATATTTTGTGTAAATAACTTGTTACACTATTATTGTTCTACTGCTACATTGTTAGTGTTACACTGTTACACTTTTATTGTTACACTGTTATTATTACACTATTACATTATTCTGATATTAAATTAATTTAAAAATAAAACCACTTTCTAAAAAAAATGCATGAATCAAGGTGCTTTAAAAAATAATTCAAAATTTAGATAAGAGATTTAACAACAAGTATATACACACATACATAAGTATTTATACATATAAATATATATAAAAATATGTATTTATGTATATATATATATATATATATATATATATTAAAGTTCTCCCATAAAACTAAAAGATGTTTAATGTACCATTTTTTAAAAAAATATATTAAATACACATGAATTAATGGAGGACAAAAATATCACAATAAAAATAGATAAATTCAAATTATGTACTTGAATACAAATAAATATCAAAATTAAGTACTTAATAATCCTATATTTTTTATCAAATAAATCTAATTTAATATATCCCCTACAATTAACCATAATAAATATACTGCTCAAGCCACGTTACCAGACTTCGTATTTGTTTTGACTTTTTTCTTTGTCTGAAGCCTTCAAGCTACCATAATTTGACTTCTATATTGCCACACTCGAACCTACCTAAATATGTCCTTCTCAAGACACTGTTATAATAACGCTACCTGTTTGATGATTAACTCTGGTTGTTGAATCAAAAGTGAACTACAATTAATATTTTTATTAGATCCAAAGTGAACCCCAAATAATATTTTGACCAATGTTATAATCTCAATAGTAGTGTTACATTGAACGAAAAAGTAGAACAAAAATACAAATTAAATGACGTGACATTATTATAATAAAATGAATTTAAATTTTAAATGTGTAAAAGTGAAATCAATAATACTATTATGATAATTTTACATCATTTTATTTTATTTTTGGCCGGTCATCATTATTCTAATCCCAATAGTTAAATATGATCTAAGATATATTTACATGAACTTTAATGTATTCTGACTGATATTGTAAGTTGGTATTTAAAATTGTGCTCTACACATGACTTCATATCAATTAGTATCGAGGCTGCCACCACGTTGAGTATGCAATCGAACAAAATATGGGTTGTGGCGCCTCATAGAAGAACTTGTCTACAAGCTAAATTAAAATGTCTTGTTATTATGAATGTGCAAGGTGCTAAGTTATTAAATATTAATAGGTGCATAGAGTTACCAAAAAATAAAGATTATCGTTTAGTTAGTATCGATAAAGCAGTCATTATAGACGTACGCTATTGGACAATGGTGAAATGTTATGATCCCATAGCGATTGATATGGTCTCAGTTATATGCATATGACGTCTTTTAATACCTTTTTTTGTGAGACAATTTTGATTAGGTTCGGATCATATCAACCACTATTAAGTACACTAAATAAAGTACAAAAATATGATCCAACAGGTTTGGTCCAATTCAATCAGTCAAAATATTGTGCCTAGCGACCTGCCTATATGTATGTGTCTAACTTCATTCCCAAACTCACTGGGAAAGCATTTTGCTGTAGAACTTGTTGGTTAAGGCCACAAGACATGGAGTTCTTCTATGTTTCTCTCCTTTCCCTCTTTGTTCTCCTTGTCTCTCTTTCCCTTCACTTCCTGTTCTACAAGAGCAAATCCGGTGGAACCCTCCCACCAGGAAAAACCGGGTGGCCGGTGGTCGGGGAGAGCCTCGAGTTCCTCTCCACCGGGTGGAAAGGCCACCCGGAGAAGTTCATCTTTGACCGGATGGTCAAATACTCTTCCCAAGTATTCAGAACATCTCTCCTCGGCGAGCAGGCCGCAGTTTTCTGCGGTGCTGCAGGGAACAAGTTTTTGTTTTCGAACGAGAATAAACTTGTGCAGGCCTGGTGGCCCAGCTCGGTCAACAAGGTTTTTCCATCCTCAACACAAACATCTTCAAAAGAAGAAGCCATCAAAATGAGAAAAATGCTCCCCAATTTCTTCAAACCCGAAGCTCTGCAACGATACATTGGCATGATGGACGTTATTGCCAATCGACACTTCGCCTCAAGTTGGGAAAACAATGACCAAGTCGTAGTATTCCCCCTGTCCAAGCGATTCACCTTCTGGCTCGCCTGTCGGGTCTTCGTGAGCATAGAAGATCCTAACCACGTTGCCAAATTCGCAGACCCTTTCGACCTCTTGGCTTCCGGGCTTATATCAATCCCGATAGACTTGCCTGGAACACCGTTTCACCGTGCAATCAAGGCCTCGAACTTCATCAGGAAAGAACTTGTGAGGATTATTAAGCAGAGAAAGGTCGATTTGGCCGAGGGCAAGGCGTCGCCGACGCAAGATATATTGTCACACATGCTTCTGACAAGCGACGAGAACGGCAAGTTCATGGCTGAATTGGATATTGCTGATAAGATTTTGGGGTTATTGATCGGAGGCCATGACACTGCAAGCTCTGCGTGCTGTTTCATTGTCAAGTATCTTGCCGAGTTGCCAGAAGTGTACGAGGGAGTCTACAAGGGTAAAGTTCTTTTCTATTATATTTTGAATAGTAAAATTGCAGTAACAAACCAGATACTGGATCGAAAATTACTAGATACTACAAACATGTTTAGCATGTAAAACATATTTTTTTATTCTTATTTATTGATCAAGTTTTGTGTGAATCCTTTAACAATAATAGAAGTATTCAATTTGTTGTGCAAACTGCCTATATTTTTAGTTTATGAGAAGCTCAATAATTGTTAGGTTGAAAGAAGGGAGGGATCTGAATTGTAGATTTTCTGGTTTGGCTTGTTAATCCGATCTCAGTAAATACGTCAGATTACTACCAGATTGTATAATAAAATTAACTAAGTAGTATGAGCTAGTGTAGACTAAATATTCGACACTAATATAAAATAACACCTTGAGAAAACTCCATAACACGATTCCAATGGCACTTCTGGCAGTTATCTAGGTCTTATAGGATTGATTTGTTTAGTGGTTTTAGGTTTAACACATCTGCAAATGCGTGGATCACAAGAAAGTGTCAAGCAAAGTAAGCATATATTCAATAAAAGTTATGAATATAACCCTTTCATTTTATTTGTTAATTTATTTCTTGTCAGTAGGTAGGGGCGGAATGCTAAGATCAACAAGTTATTGATAATCATCGACTTTTGAAGTGGAGTAATGCTATTAGAATCTAAAAAAATAATCTACCTAATAATGTGTCAATTAAGTGATGAAATCCCAAATAATTGATTACTTTGCTTATAACAAAATATTCATAGGCAATTTTAATTTAATTATAGTAGGACTTATTATTTATAGGTTGTCCCTAACGTTACATGATGAAATATTTACTATTAAGTGCCATACCAGATTTGAACTCACGAGAAAAATACCTAATTCCTATTTCTTGTGGTCTTTTTTTTTTTGGCAGAACAAATGGAAATTGCCAATTCCAAAGCTCCGGGTGAATTATTGAATTGGGAGGATATACAGAAAATGAAATATTCATGGAATGTGGCCTGTGAAGTGTTGAGACTTGCACCGCCTCTCCAAGGAGCTTTCAGAGAAGCACTCACTGATTTCATGTATAATGGTTTCTCAATTCCCAAGGGTTGGAAGGTACTGTTCTTAGTAAATTCCACAAACTATTATAAATTCCAACTTTGTGCTGTTTGATTGATTGCTTATTCAAGTAAAATTCTGACTTACTCATAAAACTTACTATTTTTTTTCCCGTTTTGTGCAGATTTATTGGAGTGCAAATTCAACACATAGAAATCCCGAGTTCTTCCCCGACCCACTAAAGTTTGATCCATCAAGATTCGAGGGAAGTGGACCTGCTCCGTATACATTTGTGCCGTTCGGTGGAGGACCTAGGATGTGTCCCGGAAAAGAGTATGCTCGACTGGAAATACTTGTTTTCATGCACCACCTCGTGAAAAGGTTCAGGTGGGAGAAACTGATTCCGGATGAGAAGATTGTCGTTAACCCGATGCCCATTCCAGAGAAGGGACTTCCGGTTCGCCTCTATCCTCACAAAGCTTAATTTGCTGCACTTATGGCTTCTTCAATTCTTCAGGAAATCAAGATATACCTAAGCTGAGCAGTGGATTTGCACTGTAATAATAAGAGGCCTTCTTTTAGATTTGATGTTTCCTACTTTGGATGTACATAATATCCATAAAACTCAAGTTGTAAGCTCTTTATTGTCGTTTTTTCCTCGTCCAAAGCTTCTTCTGTAGTGGACAATTATAATAAATTATTTAATGCAGTGTGTTTCTTTCGATGTTTATTTCCTATTTCTATCAAACAGTTACATGTATTATTTCTTATTTATATCAAACAGTTATTTGAATAATAAAATATTATTGATTGCATTGAACTTACACCTAATCTAATGATTGTATTGAAGTCATATCATTAGGTTCCTAAACAATGTCCCTATAACATTGCTCTTTGACTNGTTTCTTTCGATGTTTATTTCCTATTTCTATCAAACAGTTACATGTATTATTTCTTATTTATATCAAACAGTTATTTGAATAATAAATTATTATTGATTGCATTGAACTTACACCTAATCTAATGATTGTATTGAAGTCACATCATTAAGTTCTTAAACAATCTCCCTATAACATTGCTCTTTGATTNTTGATTGCATTGAACTTACACCTAATCTAATGATTGTATTGAAGTCATATCATTAGGTTCCTAAACAATGTCCCTATAACATTGCTCTTTGACTTTAACCACAACAGTCTTTTGTCTTGGATTGAAATCTGAAAAATATGTAAAGATTGTGCATGAAATGAGATCTCTCCGATATACTTCCTGGGTAAATCACCTAATAAATTCAATTGGAACTTTGTACTTACAACTGGGTCCCCCTACTCCGATAATGATCCACATTCGAGTGAAATTTGAAGAATATTTATTGAAGAAGATTTAGATCTATTGAGTGCGGCTTGAAATGAGTTTTCTCCGTCCCTTGGTGATTTCTTGTAGGAGTCACAAAGATATTTAACTAACCCAAATCTGTAACCACGCAATCACTTTAGGAGAGAAATTTGTATTACGTCTAATCTCACCAACTCCGTCCACATGCAAATCACATATTGAGTGGGTTACAGTAAATAATGGTTTGTCCAAATCAAAATATTTAGTGCGAGTCACACCTCGATCTTCTTCTTTTAATGCAACAAAACAGGGTCCACATTCNCTTTAACCACAACAGTCTTTTGTCTTGGATTGAAATCTGAAAAATATGTAAAGATTGTGCATGAAATGAGATCTCTCCGATATACTTCCTGGGTAAATCACCTAATAAATTCAATTGGAACTTTGTACTTACAACTGGGTCCCCCTACTCCGATAATGATCCACATTCGAGTGAAATTTGAAGAATATTTATTGAAGAAGATTTAGATCTATTGAGTGCGGCTTGAAATGAGTTTTCTCCGTCCCTTGGTGATTTCTTGTAGGAGTCACAAAGATATTTAACTAACCCAAATCTGTAACCACGCAATCACTTTAGGAGAGAAATTTGTATTACGTCTAATCTCACCAACTCCGTCCACATGCAAATCACATATTGAGTGGGTTACAGTAAATAATGGTTTGTCCAAATCAAAATATTTAGTGAGTCACACCTCGATCTTCTTCTTTTAATGCAACAAAACAGGGTCCACATGCNTTATTGATTGCATTGAACTTACACCTAATCTAATGATTGTATTGAAGTCATATCATTAGGTTCCTAAACAATGTCCCTATAACATTGCTCTTTGACTTTAACCACAACAGTCTTTTGTCTTGGATTGAAATCTGAAAAATATGTAAAGATTGTGCATGAAATGAGATCTCTCCGATATACTTCCTGGGTAAATCACCTAATAAATTCAATTCGAACTTTGTACTTACAACTGGGTCCCCCTACTCCGATAATGATCCACATTCGAGTGAAATTAGAAGAATATTTATTGAAGAAGATTTAGATCTATTGAGTGCGGCTTGAAATGAGTTTTCTCCGTCCCTTGGTGATTTCTTGTAGGAGTCACAAAGATATTTAACTAACCCAAATCTGTAACCACGCAATCACTTTAGGAGAGAAATTTGTATTACGTCTAATCTCACCAACTCCGTCCACATGCAAATCACATATTGAGTGGGTTACAGTAAATAATGGTTTGTCCAAATCAAAATATTTAGTGCGAGTCACACCTCGATCTTCTTCTTTTAATGCAACAAAACAGGGTCCACATTCAAATCACATATTAAGTGGATCATACTAAAGGGAAATGCTATTTGAATCTTATTTAGAGATTTTATTTAGGGATCTAAAAATGTGTAACTATTTGATTGGTTATAGGTTTCATCTAATATTAGAACTCACAATTAATCCAAAAGTTACATTGAAGCTACTCCATACTAAATAGTGGTTTGTCCAAATCAAAATATTTAGTGTTAAGTCACACTTCCATTGTCTTCTTTTAATGCAACAAAAAAACTACATGCATATATAGAATCAACACAAAAAAAATAGTTGAAAGTAATCATTTAAGTCAGGGGCGGAGCCAGGATTTTGCTTCAGTGGGGGTAACTTATTCATAGCTGATTAAAAAATAAATTTGTCTAATTAGTTTCAAGTTTAAGAGTTTGTCATTAAGTTCGCAACAAATAAGATAATGTACTACACAATCAAAATATAATTCATAAATCCAAAATATAATACCAAGTAGAATTTCAAGAAATCAATTAAAGCAATTTAATCATAGGGACAAAAAAACACTAACCAAAAATCTCAGATAGCTAATCTGAACATGGGCTTTAACAAAAATCCAAAATAGTTGAGTGGTGATCCAAGACGAAAAAAAAAAACCTACATAAGTCTATAAATAATACACCAAACAACCATTAATTCTACAAGAGTTAAACTAATTTTCTAATATAAAAAATCTAAATTTAGATTAGTGTTAATATTACTATCAAAATTTTGGTTAATTGATTACATCTCCTTAGCTTCAACATAATCTTCTAGGGTTTCTTGAAATTTGATTTGCAGCATGATTGAATCCAATATGGTGATTTGTTGATGAATACATCAAAGGAACTAATAAAGAAACTAAATAAAAGAAAGAACAGGAGCTGCCTAGACGCCTGGACTGGACTGGAAGTCTGGACGAAGAAGATGAAGGCTTACAAAAAAAAAAAATAGGCGTGAAAAGGAACTGTCAAAACTTAGCTTTTAAGGGTTTAAAATTATATTAATATATCCTATACTTTAAGAAAATTTTAGTGGGGTAAGTTTAAGAAATTCTTGAAATTTTTAAAATTACACTTAGGTCTCAAATGTTTTTAAAATTTCAGTGGGGGCAACTGGCAGGCTTGAAAAATGAGGAGGAGCTGTCAAAAGTTAGCATTTAAGGGTGGAAAATTATATTAATATACCTTATACTTTAAAAAAATTTCAGTGGGGCAAGTTTAATAAATTCTTGAAAATTTTAAAATTACACCTAAATCCCAAATTTTTTAAAATTTCAGTGGGGGCAGCTATCCCCACTACCCCCATACTAACTCCGCCACTAATTTAAGTGGAACAATCTGGACCACTGTTGNATTACACCTAAATCCCAAATTTTTTAAAATTTCAGTGGGGGCAGCTATACCCACTACCCCCATACTAACTCCGCCACTAATTTAAGTGGAACAATCTAGACCACTGTCGGATTAGCTAGCCCCTCTAGTTGTGCACGTTAAAGTGCAGTGTTCAAATCCTTTTTCCTCCCCCGTACTGTTACGACCCAAAAAAAAAAATGGAACATGTAAGAGAAAAAATCTGGTATGTCTTAAATGAACGTGATGTGAAACTTGCTGGTCAATTCATGAAAAATGAACAAAAGTTACCACTACCTGTAAAATGAATAAATTGTCCGAGGCCAGAGTTTTGTCGGCCAGAGGCACTTCCATGCCTTTGTCGGTACAGATTCTGAGAATTAGGTTAAACGATTTTGCTAGGTAAGTGTTGTGTACCTTTGACTTATGGTTTGCCTCCTCTTTATAATATCTCATGGCGCTCCTTTTGCAAGGGTTTCCGCCATTGGCTATTCTAGGTGGGACACCCATCATTTAGTCGGATTCTTTTGGATTGGCACCAGAGTTTCTTCTGATTGATTGCTTCTCACGTGTTTAACGTATCACCCTGTAATCTTGGGAGTACCATCCTTGGTTTTGTGGGATAGTTTATATATCATCCTTAGAGAATGGAGTTATACCACTCCTTAGGCTTTGGCTTATCAGAACTTCCTTCTAAGTACTTGGTTCTCTTCTCCTTCTATCACCTTGCTCGGTAGAAACTAGGGGCCTTGGTTGATTTAGTCTCAACTTGCTCAATTACGTATTAAGTTTCTCGATCATGCTTACGCATAGATGATTCGTGCGTAAAGTTAACAATTTTTCTATGTTTTTTTTGATTAATTGTGCTTTGATGGAGTTTAAGTAATGACATTTTAGGTCCTAAAGTGAACAAAGGCTCAAGAACAACAAAAATCACACTTGAATGTAACACCAGCACAATAGGGAACAAAATTTCGGAAGGGTGGAACAAAGCAAGAAAGTTCGAACGTCAACTCACGTTCGAACGTCATCTGAAAACCCTGCCAAGACCAATTGCTAAGATATAGCGTGTTGCAGTCAACAAAGGGAAAATGCTGAGGTACTTGAGTACCACGGTTGAACGCCAAAGCACATTCGAACATCCTCTGGAATCCTGAAAAGACTACACTGGAACCTGGCATGTTGTAGTAAGAAAGAAGAACCATAAGTACTTGAGTACAATGTTCGAACGTTGTCCTGAGTGTCTGAGGACCAAGTTGCTGAGTGTAAAGTCAAGGTTGTTCAAGACGTATGAAAGTGACCAAGTCAGTGACCACAGGCCACTTGAGTGGAAGAAATCAAACGTCATCTCACGTTAGAACGCCCTCAAAGCAAAGACACAGACAACGTTTGAACGTCCTTGAAGAAAATACAGACTTAACCTCTCACATGCCAGATCACGTTCGAACGTTCCCCTGCAGACTGCTTGCAGAATAGTTGATTCCCATGGGCGGCAAATATTATTCACTCATCCTCATTTATCTCCTACCCCNACGTTCCCCTGCAGACTGCTTGCAGAATAGTTGATTCCCATGGGCGGCAAATATTATTCACTCATCCTCATTTATCTCCTACACCCTCCCCTTCGTTGCCTATAAATACTCCCTTGTTGGGAGCTTAAAAGGGCATTCTTCCTCTTGTAGAGAAAGGAGGGGGCAATCTTTTGTCTTGTAAAGTA